CACAGAGGTGTGTTAAAGCAAAAGAATGGAGTGGCAGATCTCTGAGCTCTGGAGCTAGACTGAGTGCATCTCAGCTCTGCTCCTATGTTTAACTCAAGGCCTCTTTAGCTCATCCATAATTCCCATAGAAATGGTGCCCACACATGGAGACTTTTTGAGGACTAAATAATGTGATACAAAGTGCCTAGATCACTGCCTGGTTCTTGATAAGACTCCATAGATAATGGCAGTCCATGTGCTGTTTGCAAACCCCAGGGTCTCCGTGCTGCCCTCACTAGACGGTAAACTCACTGTGAAAGGCCCACCCACAATTTATCATTCTCTTTACCAAGGCTGCTTGGGGCTCAGCAGTGGACTGCGCTCCATGCTTGTTCAAACATCAGCTTTGGTGAACTGGCTGTGATAACAGCCCACTCCCTGTCCATTGGCTGAATTCCTTCCATATCTATGTAGTGAGAGGATGGCAATGCGGATGAAACTCTACGCTTCAAATGAGCTCCTTCCTAAAACCCATGACCAGTGTAAGAGTTACTGCAGTGTCAGTTTAAGCCATGCAGTCTACTTTGGTCAGACACTAGTCTACTGTGGTTGTGAAGCTACTTTGCATATGTGATAGCATTTGTTAAATTGGTTGACTTTAAATAAAGGAGATTAAGCTTGATAATGTGGATGAGGCTCATATTCTCAGTTGAAGGTAAGAGCACAAACTGAGGTTTTTCATAGTTGTATGACAGGGTGCCTTGAAGATTTCCAACTTGCCAGGCCACACAATTGCATAAATAAATTCAGGAAAATAAATCTAAATCTACCCACCTACAAAGCTTTATCTATCTACCAGGAGGACCATAGTTAAGTACTATGGATAGGGTGACTTCAACAATGGACATTTATTTTCTTAAAGTTATAGAGGCCAGAAGTTCAAGATCAAGTGCTATCATGGCTTGTGTCTGGTGAGGCTTCCTTCCTGCCTCTCACAGAGCTGTCTTCTCACATCCTCACCACAGGGCTTTTCTTCTGGGGACCTGAGGAAAAAGAGACACATTGTCTCTTTCTCTTCTTGTAGAGACACACTGTCTCTTTCTCTTCTTGTAGAGACACACTGTCTCAAAGGCCTCAGCTCAGGACCTCACTTCACCTTCCTGACTTCGCACAAGGCTCTACCTTCAAACTCAATCTCAGTGAGGGGAAATGCTTCAACATTTGAGTTCTGGGAAGGGGCATAATGCAGACAATCTCTATGTACCATCCTAGTGAACAGCGATGCTGAAGTGTAAGCCAAATGCACCCTTTCCTCCCCGGTTTGCTTTTGGTCATGGCGTTTCATCACAGCAAAAGAAACCCTAAGACAAGTTGGTAGCAGGATTGTGGGGTATTGCTGTGACAGATCTAGCCATGTTTTAAGGTGGATTGTGTAAGGACTTTGGAACTTTGATCTAGAAAAGCCATTGAATGTTGAGAGTTCAGTGAGCTTGGAAGATAAGAATGCTGAAAGCAAGGTAGAAGATGGAGGCCGGGCTTGTGAAGTTTCAGAGGGAAGTTTAAAGACTATGCAGGGCCTGGTGGTGGTGGCACACGCCTTTAATCCCAGCACTCAAGAGGCAAAGGCAGTCAGATCAAGACAAGCCTGGTCTACAAGAGTTCCAGGACAGTCTCCAAAACCACAGAGAAACCCTGCCTCGAAAAACCAAAAAAAAAGTCTTCTGGGTGTTTTGTCTATTTTGAATTAAGAGTCAGTTGTTCTGGTCAGCTGGGGCTAAAGAGCCAGTGTGATTAACAAAAGACTAGCCACACTGAAGCATTACTGGGACAATTGATGCTGGTTAGCTAGAGCTAGGAAATTAGTGGTGATTGAGAAGAAGTGAAATCTTCTAGGAAGGCTTTTCTCAGGGTCAGCATACACAAGCTGTGTTCCAGAAAGCAGCTGAAGTTGTACTTCGTGCTGGCAGCCGAACTTGGTAGTGTAAGTCACCCAGGTAGTGCTGGTTTGGAAGGCATGAAGGGATCATGGAGGACAGCTGAGGCTTGGTGCTGTGAGCGTCCAGGAGAAGCCCCTGGTGAAAGTGCAGCTCAGCTGCAGCAAGGGACCTCGGCATTTTGGAGATGCCAGTACCATGGATGACCACTACGAACAGCAACATTAGTGGGATGGAGCCAGCTGGAGCCTAGGAGACACCTGTGTGTGCTGCAGAGGACAGAGCTGGAGAAGTACACAAGCCCCTTGGAGGAGCTCAGAAGATCATGAGTGGATCCCAGATAATCAGACACTGACTTAGTTACACTGGTGGAGTTCGGTTTTGCTTGGTTCAGATTGTGACTTACGCCCTGGTTCTTCCCTCTTGAAGAAGATATTTAATTATGATTTTTATAGGAGCCCACAGCTGAAGGACTTTGGACTTTTAAAAGAGATTTTGGATTTTTTGAGAGATTGGATATTTTAAAGAGACTGAAATTTTAATATGTTTGAATTTGTGAAGGCTGTGGGACTTTCAGTTATTTATGTTTTAGTGTGAGATCTTGTGGATGAATAAGAAAGGAAAGGTGTGGCTTAATAGTGATGTGTCAAGTTGAGAGGGGTCAGTTGCACTGGCTAGTCTTATGTCAACTTGACACACAACTAGAGTTATCTGAAAAGAGACCAACTTAGAAAATGCCTCCATAAGATTCAGCTGTAAGGCACTTTCTTAATTAGTGATCAATGGGGGTAGGGTCCAGCCCATTATGGGTGGTGCCATCCCTGGACTGGTGGTCCTGGGTATGGTGATAAATTACTTATGATTTATTAGAGCTTGCTTGAGGATTCAGAAAGCAAAGTCAGCCCCGAGCAATAGAAGCCAGGCACACACCTTCAATCCCAGCAGCCAGTAGCTAGGAGGTGGTGATACACACCTTAAATCCTAGGATTTAGGATTAAGAGGTAGATGAGTCTCTGTGAGACCAAGGCCACACAGATCTACACAAGAGTGAATCAGTCTAAAAGAGAATTATAACTCACACATTTAATCCCATCATTAGGGAAGTATATAAGACAGAAGCAAAGGTCTCAGAGAGACATTCGTTTTTCAGCCATGGTGAGGAGAGGTTACAGTCTGAGGTTTGGTGAGAGCTAATGGAGACAGGATCAGCCCATTCAGCCTGAGGGAGAGGTAAGAGCTAGTGGCCTGCTGCTTTGCTTTTCTGATATTCAGCTTGAAGTTTGAAACCTAATACCAGTCTCTGGGCCTTTTATTTTTTCATGTTATACCTGGGTTCTATAAGAGAGCAGGCTGAGCAAGTCAGGGGAATCAAGGCAATAATTCCTCCATGGCCTCTGCATCAACTCCTGCCTCCAGGATCCTGCCCTGTTTGAGTTCCTGTCCTGACTTTCTTCAGTGATGAACAATGACCAAACAAACCCTTTCTTCCCCAACTAGCTTTGTGGTTATGGTGTTTTGTTGTAGCAACAGAACCCTAAAACAGTGCTTTTTTTCTGGAAAGCCCCTAATTGATAGACAGAATGGAACTGGATACTGTATCATACACAGCTGACCCCAGCTTTATAGTCTGTTGCCACACCGCAGTCTGTTTAGTACAAGTGGTCACACATAGCTATTTTTCAAGTGATAAAGCTAAGGACTGCTTTTTTTTCTTTCATATGTAGACTCTAGAAAAACAGATTATGCAACAGAAAGGGAACTGTTAATAAGGGATAAGCAGAAAGAGGACTGGAAGGTTGGAGGAAGACTGTCATGTGTAGGTGAATATGATGAAACATATCAGTATGAAAATGTCATAAGGAAAACCAGGCATCGTGGCACATACCTGTAATCCCAGCACTTGGGAGGTGACTACAAGGTCATCCTTAGCTACATAATGAGTTGGAGGTAGGTCAGCCTGGGCTATGTGACAACATGTCTCAAAACAAATGTAATAATGAAAATCATCAATATTTTTATAATTAATATACACTAAAAAGACATAATACTAAGGGCATAGTTATTTAACACTCCTAAAACCAGGAAGGTAAAGTTTTGACATGCAAAGTCAGACATTATAAGTGGCTGCTTAATATTTCTGCTGATAGTTTTGAAAAAACACTAGCTTTATGAGTTAAAATGAAGAGAGGTTTATAATAGCTCTATTTATAATTCATGTCAAATCAGAACCAACCTTAACACCTATTGAATGGATCAACAAGCTGTCGTACATTTGCACAATGAAATACTCCTCAAACAGAAAAGGAAACAAATTATTCACATAGCCTGGCATGAGCAGCTGAGCCAGCTGAGTGATCTTCAGAAAGTTTTACCTGACTTATCCCCCTACAGAGCTCTGAAAGCTGAGACTGCAGGGAGCGCTGATGAGGTGTATCAGTTCCAACAGTGTAATGTATGAATGATGCCCTGGGTTTGATTCCCCAACTGCTAAGTAGGCACAACTGCACACACCTGTAATCCCAGCCTTCAGGCGGTGGATGCAGGAGCCTCAGAAGTTTAAGGTCATCCTCCATCATGAGTTTGAGGTCAGACTGAGCTACATGAGACCTTGTCTCAAAAAACAAAAACAAAATCCAAGCAAGCCCTATGAAAGAAACACTGCCTGATTATGTTTTTCTGTAGGTTTTCTTTTTGAAATATGTATTTGTTCTTCAAGATAGAATTTCCCTGTGTAACAGTCCTGGCTGTCCTAGAACTCCCTTTGTAGACCAGATTGGCCTTGAACTCACTGAGATCTGCCTGCCTCTGTTTCCCGAGTGCTGGGATCCAAGGTGTATGCCACTGTGCCTGGCTATGTGTTTCTCTTTCCTTAAAGAATCAAGGTTTATCCTGCAGCTCTGACTTAGAAGAGGACTTGTAATTTAAATTCCTGCAGGAAATGTCATGCTATCAGGGAGGGAAGAGGGTTAGGGCCTGGCCACACCGCCTGGAGTACAGGTAAAAGCAGAAATGAAGGGCAAGCATGCAGTTCCTTTAACCGCTTTTCCTCCCCCCCCCATTTCGTTCAGTGATAAAATTCCACACGGAACACGTTGTTGTATTTATAGGCTTTCTCAGTCACTTCAATGGTGGGAACCCTACTTCACTGTACTGGAAAGCCAGGAGACATCTTTTGGTTTGGGTTTGGGTTTGGGACCTGGGCCTCACACACACCAGACAAGTGCTCCACTATTGTGCATTGTCTTCAGGCCATAAGGTCTTCTATGAGCAAAGGACCCCATTCCGGCACTGGCAGGACACCAGCTGTATTGGTCGTTTATTGCCGAAGTCTGAAAGTCCTAAAACAACACTGTATGGTGTCTGAGGTTTCTACTGCTCTCCCCGTTCAGTCAGCCCTGGGATGACTGGAGCTGGAGGGATAGGTCTGGGTCCTTGGTGTGACGTCAGCAGAGTTCATCTTGCTAGGAGGTCATTGCTTGTCTTCTGGGATTGAAAAGCTTCACATCGTCTCTCAAGGCCTGAACTCAGAGCTTGTGCAGTGCTGGGCTGCTTCTGCAACACTGTGTTTAAAGTGGGTTACAGGCCAACAGCAGAATGGCCCTGTATACAATGAGGTGATATATTGCAAAGGAGTAAAACATACAGGCACAGCATTCATTAGGCCCTAACTGTAACCTCCATTTGGAAAGAATGAGCTCAATTAGCTCTTTTGGTTTGTTTGTTTTATTTTTTTTTAAGACAGGGTTTCTCTATCAAATAGTTCTGGCTGTCCTGGAACTTGCTATGTAGACCATGAGGCTGGCCTCCAATTCACAGAGATCACCTGCTTCTGCCTGTCCGGTGCTGAGATTAAAGGTGTGTGTATTTAGTTGGGTTTCCTTAGCGCCTTCCTCCATTCCCCATCTCTGTGTCCCCTTCTGTCCCTTTCCACCTTCCTGTCAGTTAACCTCCCTCCCAGCTCCTTTTACTTTAGCCTTTTTCTTTCTCCTCTCAGGCCCCTGCCTGCCTTCCTGATCTCTGCCCACAATCCCTCCCACATAAATACACACTTGTAATTAGAGCCATATATGAGAGAGCACATTGATGTCTTCCCAACTTACCCTACTTACCACAACATTTTCCGGTCATATTCATTTTCCTGCAAAGTTCATGCTTCTTTACAGCTGAATAAAATTCCATAGTGACTGTGCACATTTTCATTGGCTGATGGACATAAAATGGGATTTTTCATTATGAAGTAATAGAAAATACTACAGAATCCATTCACTATTTTAAAATGGACTATTATTATATAATTGTGGGTCTACTCTCTTGGGTTTCCTGATATCTTACCATTCCCCAGTGTTGTAGAACCAATGAAAGGATCCAATTCCAAAAAGGATGTGGTCAAACTTGAACTTCTTGTGGGCTGGAGCTCTGCTACAGTAGGGCCCTGGTAGGCAGCACAGAGACAGACCTGCATGATCTTTCCAATTGTGTTCAGACTTATTGTCTCACACACCCCTATGTCCTGACAAGCCTTGCCAGACCAGAGCTCTAGCAATAAGGAGGCATGCTTGGATGGAGAGCAGCTCCACATTGACACTCAATCACCTCTGCAGCCTGGCTCATTCCAAGAAATCCCTGGAAGAAGGTACCATGCAGAAATACCAGTTAGGAAACCAAAGGCCAGCCTGCGCAATGGTTCATCCTTGCCAACTTCCTCCTTCCACAGCCTTTGTACTAACAGTTCTCTTTGACCATGAACTTGGCCCTCAAAAACATTTAATGAAAATCAAGATCAAGGTTTTGGAATTTTGTATTCTCTGGCCTCCCATTCAAGCCCAAATTTTAGATATATCCATCCATGGGATTTTTTTCTTAAACCTCTGACTTTCTGGGTTAGGATCCCTTTCTAGAACCCTGATCCTTAGCCTGAGCCCAGAGCCTGAATGTTAGAGGAGACATGATGTCACCCTGAGATGCCAATCTTTCGGGAGCTTTGGGCAGGTGGAGAGCAAAGGGACATGAAAGAGAAAAGAGGAAGAAAAAGGCGCAGGGCTCCTGTCCCCATGGCAGCTGAACTTGAGGTGCAGAGCCTGGAGGGTTGGCAAGTCCACTGCTGCACAGGGTCAGGGTGAGGGTGTGTTATAGAAGGAGCTCTCTGGAGCAGCTCTCAGCAAGGCAGATAGATGGGAAAGGTTCTTCCCCAAACTGAGAGCCTTGAGACCTCCCTCCAAGCTCCAAGCCTCCTCCTGGTGCTCACTTCTTGGCACCCTAGCTCACTGATGCTCTTAAAGCTGTACATTCATGACTCCTCGTCACCAGCATCAAATGACCCAAGGAAGCAACCTGAAGAAGGAAGAGTTTGTTCTGGCTCACAGTTTGAGACTAGAGTTCTTCCTGGAGGGGAAGGCATGGCAGCAGCCTGCTCTGTGGCACGAGGCACCGACTGTAGATCAGGAAGAGGAGAGCAGGATGCCGTTACCACCTGTTAAGGAGCCTAACAGCCCCCCCCCCAGGGTTCCCACAACCTCCCAAGTAGAGACCAAGTTTTCAAACACATGATCCCACGGGGACATTTTACACTGCAAACACAGCAAGCAGTTAGGGACCATACATGTTCCAAGAGCTGGGCCCATCAGACCAGGTTGTTCTTTCTCTGGAAAATAGAAACAAAAGCTTAACAAACCAATGTGACTCTCCTCATTTACTACCCTTTGCAGTTATGCACTTACCTCCTCCCCTTCCTTGTCTCCCAGACAGCAGCCTGGAGACACTTGCACCTCAGACTCCCTGGCTCTCTTCCTACCTCCAAGACCACCTGGATATGAGCCGACCACCTGCCCAGGGAAAATACACAGTACCAGGGCCTCTAGGTTCCAGTCTGAACTTCCTGGTGTGTCACAGACTTTGTGGCTCAGTTTACCCTCTTCTCACTACTGCTATATGCATAAAATACTTAGACATGGCTTAGTATTAATGCACTGTGGTCTTCTTTCCCAGAAGCCGCTTTTGTGAGTTTCTGCCTCTTTGGGAGGTCAAGGCAAATATTATCTCAGCTGCTGAGCTCCTCCCCAGAGCTGGCAGATGCCCCTGCAGAGCTGACCTCTGTTGGGTGTCCCCGTGGATTGCTCACTTCTAGCTAAAACATCTGGTATGGGTTATGGCTACAAGGTGGGGTGTCTGTCTCCCTCCTACCCTGGAAGAGGAGGGGATGCTCATTCCCTTGGCGTCCTTCCGCTCCATCTCCTCTTTCTAGAACATCTCCTTTCTCTTGTATTCTGGGATATCTATAGAGTGGCTCTTCTTAAATCCCCAGGAAGGAAGTTATCGGTGCTGTGCAGATCTGTTGTTTCCTCGTAGGTTACATTTAATTTTATTCAGTGTGTGTATGTGTATGTATGTGTGTACATGCATGTCATGGTCAAAGCATGGAGGAACTTGTGGAAGTTGGTTTTCTCTTCCACCTCAGGGATCCTGGGGATCAAACTTAGGTTATCAGGGGTCACACTTATCTGTTGAGTCATCTCACCACCTTTGTTTGCTTTTGAAATTGCCTCCTGTTCCCCAGGTATCTATAATTAGGTTTAGACGGTCCCTCAAAATCAGTCACTACTTGACCTCAGCAACTTTATTTCAAAGGTTAAAGCTAAAAGAACTAAGACATATCTACATCATTCAACCATGACTGCTATGATTATTCATAAGATGGATTGTGTCAGACTATGTAAGTGAATAAACTAAACCGTAGAACTGTATGCTTGCAAGGGAAGAGTGAGTCAGACCCAAGGGGGGGCTGTGAATGTTTGTAACTTATTGTCTAAATTAGGAGATCACCCAGGGAGACAGCTCCAGGCTTTTCCTCCATCACGTCCTCTTTACTCAGTGATTCCTGCTTTCTCATCTCAGTGGGGGGCAGTAGGGAGCTTAGAAAAGAGCTCCTGTGACCACTGAATTCCTTGGGGGGTGGGGAGGGGGCAAAGCCAGTAGAGGCCAGGACCTGCAACTCTGCCATGTTCCCAGGTCCATGGTCTTCAACATTTAAGAAGCTGTTTTCAAATTCTTGGTACCAGCAAATCAGACTCTGACACCTAGATTCCAACCCTGCTAATCTTGGTGGGAGTTCAAGGCTTGCCTGATCTACAAAGTGAGAGTTCTAAGCTAGCCAGGGCTACATAGTGAGACTGTGCTTAAAAAAAAAAAAAAGGTGAAGACACTAGTTGCCAAGGCTGAGACCTACATGGTGGAAGGAGAGAGACAACTCCTACAATTTGTCCTCTGACCTCTGCCTGTGATCTGCAGCATGATGCTCCCCACTCCCACATTCAAACAAATACATATATATATATATATATATTTCAAACAAATGAATATAAATATAATAAAAACCACACACACACACACACACACACCACTGGGGACTGGCTCAGCAGTTAACTATTACTGCTGCAGAGGACCCAAGTTCCATTTCCAGTACCCACATTGGGTATCTCACAACTGTAAGCATTTTGATAGATCAGATGGATGGACGGGAATGGATGGAAAGGTATTCTGGCAATCAGGAGCCAAGGACTACCACAGGTCACAGTAGGGCACAGCAGCTCACAGCCCTGCTTCAGGGAGAGGCTTCCCGGGTTTATCAGCTCTGCTCCAGCGGAGAGGGTTTCCCTGGCGAAGTTGTTACAGTTCAGCTCCAGTCCCCCAGGGAGTATAACAAGTTTGCTTTGCCAGGGGAAGGTTTCCCTGGGCGAAAACTGTTACAGCCCTGCTCCCCTCTACTCTGGGTCGTCTCTGCTACGGCGAAAGAAGGTCTCACCCAAACCTCATTCAAGAGATTTATTGGGAGGGAAGAATCCAGGAGAGTGGCTGCCCCCTGCCTCGGTGGCAGTGAATGGCCTGACAGTCCCAACAGCAAGCTGAACAGACACAGGGTTATATAGGGATTCCTAGGGGGTGGAGTTTTTCAGGGTGAGGATGGGTCAGATTTCAGTCCCCAAGTTTAGGATGGATAGATCTCCTGCTCAGGGACTGGTTAGTTTTCTGCACATGGTTACATTCAGATTTGGCTCTGGTTTCAGGGCCAAAGTGTATTTCTTTCTCTGGTCCTTTGTAGCCTTTTGGCTCTAGTTTTAGGGCAAGGGTGTATTTCTTTCACTGACTGATTCCAGGAACAAGTGTGTTTCTTTGGCACTGGTTTCAGGGTCAGGGTGCATTTCTTTGGTTCTGGTTGCAGGGCCAAAGTGTGTTTCTTTGGCTCTGCTAAAGGTGTGTCTCTTTGGCTGGACCCTTTCCCCTACAACAACCACTGGTAACGCCGGCTCCAGGGGGATCAAACACCTCTGGCCTCTGTGCACACCTGCACTCACATGTACAAACCCCTCACCACTACATAATTAAAAATAAAGTAATCCTTAAAAATATGTATATATACATTGAAGTATTTAGAGGTAAGAGTTTATATTTATAATCTTTAAACTTCTTTTTTCAATGACTTGATATGTTATTCAGATACTGAGAGAAACATTGGTAAAGAAAATATAAAATTTGGCCGGGCGTTGGTGGCGCAGGCCTTTAATCCCAGCACTCGGGAGGCAGAGGCAGGCGGATCTCTGTGAGTTCGAGACCAGCCTGGACTACCAATCGAGTTCCAGGACAGCCTCCAAAGCCACAGAGAAACCCTGTCTCGAAAAACCAAAAAAAAAAAAAAAAGTAAAATTTGGCTACTGTGGGTGAAAGGTCTAGAATCTGGACTACAGGCTTCAGTGTCCCTGTTAAGCTGGGAATTATTTCAAATGCAGAAGAGGATCAACTAGTGAATAGGATAGTCTCCTTGCTGAGGTGAAAGGAACTTGGCTCAGCAAGGTGTTTGTGTGAACACACACACACACACCCTACTGCAAACATATGGGGAATCTCACTGTTACAGTGCCCATGAGTTAAGTCAGATACAAAAGGTCTACAGTCTCCTTCTAGCCATGTAAGTTTCAAACCTGATGCAGCAGCAGGGTGGTAGTGGGAATCATATCCATGTTGAAGAGGTGGGAACTGAAGAAGGAAGGAGGCAACTCCTTGGGGACCCAGAAAGATGCTTCATTTCTCTACCTGGATCTGAATGTTGGTTGTAAATTGTCAGGGTGTGCACTCATGCTGTGCACTGTCTCTGTTCTTGTTGAGAAGGCTTAGACTGCCCTACACCCATCTTAGCACGGATCCACACCCTCTTGAAAAAATTGAGGTATTCATACACATTCAATGGAGATTGCATTTATCTTGTTATTTCGTTGCCAAGCAACACAGTTTAAGCTGCACAACCCAGTGAGGACAACCATTAAGAACCGACGTGGGGGGGCATGCTAAAGCCAGGCTCTAAGAATGATGGACTTTGAGGATTCCCGCTCTCTGCCCCCCCTTGTACTCTCAGAGGTGGGGGATGGGTTGGGTACATTGAGCAACAAAGGCCATACAGAAGGCTTGGCCCCTCCTGGCATGGGCTGCCTGTAGCCAGCCACTCTGCAGTGAGCCTGCCTGCTGCATCTATCACCATGGCAACTGCCTCCCTAGCACGGGGGCTAAAATGAGGCTCTGTGGGTGTCCAACAGTGATTGGATTCTCCTCTGACACAATGAACAAACTGATGAGTCACTGAAGGGAAGGGCTAATTCTCAGGCACTATCATTCCTAATGAAATGAGACAGAATGGAGACTGGTGGAGAGCCCTCAGAGAGAGGGAGAGAGAGATCATCAGAAGCCATAATACCTCAGAATGAATCACTAAAATTAGGTAAAAATAAACAAAGGCTACCTAAATGAGAGCAAGCAAAGGCTATTCTGTAGAGAAGGAATCCACCATTGGCAGAGACTGAAGGCAAGCAGAAAAGTGAAAAAACCTTTGTAACGAAAAAGAGGGAGGCTGGGGCGTGTAGGGAGGAGACTTGGCTAGAAGCCAGTGATGTGAGTGAGGTACAGCCGGGCTAACTAGAGTCAGGGCATTCCCTGTGACTGGAATGGGAACACATTTGCCTTTCTCTGGCTGGTCCTGAAGCAGCAGCAGCAGCAACAACAGCAAACACATACGGAGTCAGTGCTGTGGACTAAATCTTGACCTGGCTCCCTGCTGCAGAGGACGGAACACGGCTTTCTGAACTGGCTGCTACAGACTGTGGGACAGAGTTCTGTCATTACAGATGGTCTGGCCACCATCTGCTTGTTACATAAGCAGTGTCTCAGGGAGAGCTCCAGAGACTGCTCACAATGCAGTTAACAAAGAAGTGGGCCATGTGGGAGGAGGGTACAGGGAAAGTTTGAGGACTGTCCTACTCAGAGACTCATGGGAAAGTGATGAAAGAGGACAGGTAGGGAGGAGGAAGGCTCTTCTGACGTTAAAGGCGAGGTCCTTAATCCTCTGACAGGACAGGATGGACATGAACTAGATGGGGCCAGTTGGGCAGGACCTACAGGGCTCAGGTGCTCATGGCTTGCCTCAAGCTCCTTTCTTTTGTTCCCCAGACGTCTCAGGCATCTGAGTACCCGGCTCCCCTAGCTGGTGGCTATCTGGGGATGATTAGGAAGTGTGGCCTTGCTAAAGAAAGTATGTCATTGAGGGCAGACTTTGGGGTTTCAAAAAACCTGGTGCCATTTTGAGTTAGCTCTGCTTGCCGTTTGCAGACTGGGACATGAGCTCTCAACTGCTGTTATGGCTGCCAACCTGCTGCCAAACTCCCTACTCAATGGTGGTGTGCTCCTAGGAAACCCAACTGAACACTTCCTTCTGTTGCCTTGGCCACAGTGTTTTATCACAACAGCTCTAGCTAAGACAGGTAATTCTCAAGTGATCTTTGAGCTTCTGAACTACAAGTTAAAGAATTTAAAAGAGCACATATTGTTAAAATTATGAGCTAAGGAAATTATCAGAGGTTTGAACTCGGCATGGGAATTGTACCAGGTGACGGGTAACTGAACAGATCACAGTAGATACCTAAAATTGTGTGCAGGGAGGCATGCCAATTCATTCTGGGTGAGACTGTGTGTCTTTCCAGTGATGGGGGGAGGTCCATGGGGTGATTTCTATTATCTGGTGTGTGTGTTATTTCTTACTTATGTAGTTTATACACACACACACACACACACACACACACACACACACACACACACACACAAATCCACAAAGGAACTCACAAGGTCAGTGAGTACAACATAGGTACATTCATCCAGAAAGAATTTGTGATTACTCTTGTCAGGAGCCTAGGGACCTCACAACCCAAGCTCCTGTAATAAGATGTTTTTCCTCTTTTGGGGGCCCATCACCCAGCTTCTAAATAATTAACACTCACATGATGAAGGCTTATTATTACTTATGAATGCCCAGCCTTCGCTTGTTTCTTGCCAGCTTTACTTAACTTAAATTATCCCATCTACCTTTTCCCTCTGGGCTTTTATCTTTCTTATTTCTGTGTATCTTATTTTCCTTCTTACTCCGTGGCTGGCTGGGTGGCTGGCTGGGTGGCTGGTCCCTGATGCCCTCCTCTCCTGTTCTCTTTCTGCTCCACCTCTCAGTTCTTCTATTTATTCTCTCTGCCTGCCAGACCCTTCTACTTGTGCTCCCGCCTCACTATTGGCCGTTCAGCTCTTTATTAGGACCACCAGGTGTTTTAGACAGACACAGTAACACAGCTTCACAGAGTTAAACAAATGCAGCATAAACAAAGTCACATACATTAAAATAATATTCTGCCACAAGCTCATCTTCTTCTTTAGACAGGGTTTCATGACTGTC